TAACTACTTTGTCCGTGGCTAGCGGCGAGTACTCAATAAATAGTACTATTAGAAACAACTAGATTAATTTCTTTCGCGTGGCAATATTTATTCGTAGACAATCACAATGTCATCTGCATATTGCAGAATTTTAACCCCCAACTCCCCCAAGCCCTCCGCTATTTTTGCTGTATACAAATTGTACAGAAGAGGGCTGAGGACTGATCCCTGTGGTAGACCCTTCAGCAACTTCATTGGAATCACAACTCCATCCAAACCCCTAATCTCCACCCTTCTTTCCCTTAACCAAGCCAAGATGTATCTTCTGATTTTCCTCGGGCAGTCCATGTTCCTCAATTTCACAGCTACTTCCTTATGTACCACATTGTCATATGCCGCTTTGACGTCTATGAAGGCCGCGGTTACCATCTTTCTTTTCCCCCAGCATTCCTTTATGTTGTTCACCAAGATGCCAATGTTGTCCATCGTCGACCTTCCCTTTCTGAAACCGCTCTGGTTATTATCCATCTTCCCATTTTCTTCCGCCCAAATTCTCATCCTTTCATTAACTAACCTTTCCAGCAGTTTTCTCATACGGTTCATCAACGATATAGGTCTTAACGCTTTTTTTTGTGGCTTTGGTATAAATTTAACCACTGCCATCTTCCATCTTATTGGGATATTCCCTTTATTCCATACGTCGTTATATAGTTCCAGCATGGCTTCCCTCCAGCCCAGCGTCCATATCTTCATTACGTCGTAGCCGATCCCATCCTCTACCGGCGTCGACTTCCCCTTAACGGCTCTCAACGGCTCCTCCATCTCCAAGTCTCTCGTTATCCAGTCCTCTCTCGACTCTCCCTCCTCATCTCCCTCGTTTATCTCGCTACTTCCTCTCTCCTCGTTATTAACTGCTTCTTCTTCCTCTTCTTCTCCTAACCTACAACAATATCCCGTTTCCTCTAGTTTTCTTACCTCCTCCTCTTCCATTTTCTTTATTTCCCAGGTTCCCATATCTCTTTGGTCTTCCATTGTCACTCCCCTGGCCAGACTTTTCACTTTCTTCCACATCTCTCCGATATTTCCTTTGTATTTGATGCTTTTTATGAAATCGTGCCAAGCTTTAGTCTTTTTCCTCTTAATTGCCTCTTCCATCTTTTTCCTTGCTTCCTTTAGCCTTTCCCAATTCCCCTCTGTTGGCCTTTTTCCCATCTCCTTTGTTGCTCTTCTTCTCTCCTCCTTCAGTTCCTCACACTCTTTATCCCACCATGGCTACCTTCTAACCCTTTTCCTATTCCTATTACTGTTCCTATTTCTATTTCCATTTCTTTCTCCTCCTCCATTCCTATTCCCCCTTCCCATTCTCGGCCCTTTGTAACTTTCTTCAATTCCCATCCCCATTAACTCTACTATTTCTTTGCATCTTACCTCTATCCCTCTTCTTGATCTCACTATTTCTTTAACCTTTTCCTCACTCCTAATCAACCATTTATACCGAATCATCTAAACGAGGAACATTTCCGTCCAAATTATTAAAAGTCAAATAAATAAACTTGTACGTTCGGCTAAAAGTTTCATTGCCGATAGAAATCTATGTTCTGTATAGCGACGATTGGTACCGCGATGGATTTATACCTGCCCGCTGGACCTTTCGTGGCTACCGATGGAACAATAAACATTTGATATTGTCTAATTGTTAAAAACGTGACAAATTATCGTATAAAAAGGGCTCACCCTCTTCGAAAACAAATCTCAAATCATTTCTCCGTAAAAAGTAGGAGAAAATTGTATATATAATAATTATTGCTAAACAAAATAAACAAAAAATTTCAAAAACACGTATCCCCTATTTTGATCCATATCTTTAGTATACAAAGCTGCAAAAAAATCGAACTGCATTTAGGGTGAAAAACTGAAAAAAAAGTCCAATTTTTTAATATATTGTTTAAATAAATAATTTCTCCCGAAATATTTGTCACTAACTAAGTTCCTGACTAAAATCTACACAATTTAAAAAAAATTCACCTTCCTACACCCTCTAGTTTCCGAGATATTAAAGAAAATGTGTTTTCAACCCCGAACTTTGAGGGCTATTTTCACCCCCTCAACATAGATGTCCGCAGATATAAAAAAATACGTGTCAAATGATTTTTAAAAAGCTACAACATATGTCAATTTCATTAAAATCCGCGTGTGACACCTTGGTGATGTCCCTTGTAAGTCAATCGTGTCGGACATAAAAAGAATCGATAATAAAGTCATCCAAACATTATTCCTAAGGTTAATTCCTTTCGAATAAACGTGCGCGAGTCAGCACAGTAAGGTTGAGAGTCACTGAGCCGAAGTTTTAGAATGAGTTATATTTCCATCTTCTTTTAGAAATGTTGTCGTGCTTGAAATTACATAGGCGTGAATTTCTGCACAATAAGTATCCATGCTGTATACTTATAAACCCAATATAAAAGGCAAATTTTATTGACAAGGATGTTTTACTCCCTTCATCTTTTTCATGTGTTCCTATTTCCTCTTCCACCGTTAAAAAGTGTTTTAAGTTTGCAAATTACTGCGATATATCTACTTTACTATAATTAAGTATCTTGTCTCTATAGATTAGAATACTATCATAGTAGCTTTATCTATTAATGAATCCGTTGACTTTTTATATCACCTGCCTGATTACATATATCGTTCATCACTTTGTTCCCACCAGTTAACATCGTACTTACCCTTCTGCATTGTTCAGCAAATTTATTTTCTTAGTGAAACTTAAAAAGTTCTTAGATATTATAAAGTTACTAATTCCTATGAATTATACTTATACATACTTTTCTAATATTAAATCGAAATGTTTTATGGAATATTACTAATTTATTAAATGAATCTAAATCGCTTTCCCTCAGCATCAAGCAGAATGATAATATATTAAAAGATAACTTATCTATTACTAACGCATTCACCGAAGCCTTTGAGTCTGTTTATACAGTCTCCGATAATAATACTTATATTCATGATTCCACTCCCAATATAAATATTACCACGCTATTCACTAATAACGGTGATATTTTCTGAAGCATAAATTATCTAAAACATAACTATAATCGGAGTGCTATGATATTCTACCAATTTTCTTAAAATCATGTAATTTTGGCAAATTTAGAATCTTACAGTTGATATAATTTAGTAAGTCTTTATCCATGGTTGTTTTTAGAAACTCTGTCTAATTAAAATAAACCTTAAATGTGTTGACTGTACATCAATTTTGAATTATAGATCAATTTGTATGTATACAAAGTAATACGCTGAAGATTCTAGAGGAACTGACAGCCTAACAATTATTTGCTTTTCAAAATGTTAACATTGACGAATGGCACGGTTTTGTTCAGTCACTCGACTATTGCTAATCTCATGGATAAATATATCAATATTTATTCTACTATATCGAAAAAGATCTTCAAATCGATATATATTTGTGTAAAGCATTTGTCACTGTAAATCATTCAAAAATAGTTTTTTATGTAACAGAATAAAAATTATTAATTTTAAAGATTCGTAGTCGAAAGAAATTAATCAACGTTCCTAAAGTACTGACCTACAACTTGTACTTTTCATTTTATTTATTCATGATTTACCACGGATTTTTCTTTTTTCCACGTTCTTAATATTTGTTGATGATCTCAAAATGTAATATAGCATTAAAAATATTAGTAGTCCGCAATGTGATCATCAAATTGGATATGACTTTAACAGACTTCATGATTGGCGTAAATCTAATAAATTATCTAAATTTAAATATATAGCTCTCAATTTAGCCAAGCATCGTATCGTTAAGATTTAGTTAGACGAGTAATAGTATTATTTATGTTATACAGTTCATGGTCTATCGCTATTCAATGAGATTGAACGCGTACAGTATACATTTTGAAGGTTTGCTGCCATGCGCAGGGACTATCCCATATCATTTCATTCAATATCTTGTCCGATATTAATTCAGCTTTTCTCTTTAAATACACTCTCAATTTGCGTAGAAATTCAGTTGCATAAATCGTATCGGAAATTATAATGACTCAGTTCATAATAAGATTGACTTATTTAAAAATTCCATAACATCCTTAAAACATTCGTTTCCTGATCTTTTTTAATTCTTAATTATGTTATATTTTCGTGTTGATATGCGACATGTAAGTTTTATATATTAATCATCATTTTCTATTTTTTTAATTAAACTTTAATTTATGTTTTATTTACTCTAAATGACTGTGGAACTGTTGTAGCGTCGCAGTATTGTATAGGTATAACCTAAACCGTTTATGGTATAAAAAAAACAAACTGTTTTAGGGCACCATATTTTTCAAATCGTATTAACGGTAATTAATTGCCATGCTGTAAACTTGTCCTTAAAAATTATAATTTTTTTTCAAACTACCTGAACATCCAAACCATTAGTCCAGTCTTCCTCCCTCTATCGTCTATTTCCTCCCTCTACAACTTTCATTGCCATTGGTACAACCACCAATCCATCACCGAAAAATTGTTTACTTCACATATACCAAAATGCAAAAATATCAAAACGATTCAACATTCAACCAAATTATTTTAAAACCTATCAACAACCTATTGCTGAATAAATTCAGTCAGCATTTCAAGAATAATCGCGAAGAGCACGGTACAACAACTGAAAAACACGTTAAATCTTCTCCCCTACATAAAATTTCCTTTTGTATAAAAAAACTTACCCCGTAAATAAATAAATATATAAAAGTGCTAACAATATTTTACGCGAAGCTACACCAATTTCTGCAATTATTTCTTTAAAAAGAAATATGAGACTAAAACAAGACTTTATAGATGTGGGAACATCTTCGACTCAACATAGTCGGTAAATTGAGTGATTGATTTCAGTCAATCGATTTACTATGATGCTAAGTTGCATTCCATGAAATTTCTTGCTCAACATAAAACGAAGTTTTCTTGAAAACTCATTATCAGAAAATAACTTGAAAATTAGTCAATATTCTTCTTACATGTGATAACAGCTGCAAGTAGCCTAACTGCTGCATAGGGCGGTACGCAGCCTGGCCAAACTGGTTGAAGAATGTATTGGGCGAATGTTAGAGCTGTGATTGCATTTCCTGTTGGAACAAGGATGAACAATGCGACCCACAGGTACAAAAACGCTGGTAGGGGTCCAAAAGCGTCGCTAATGTATGCGTAGTCGCCCCCAGACTTGGGGATCATGGTACCTGGAAACACATATCATTCTTAAAGACAAGTAAAATTAGGTTATACCGAAATTGAAAGCATTAGTTTTGGAATATAATTTTGCAAGAATTTTCATACTAAAATTCAAATATATTTATTTAACAATATGATAATAATAACATATTAGCTTTGTAATAAGTATAATCAGAATTAAGGAGCTCAAAGATAAAAAGAATATACATATAGAACATATAAATTTATTATTGTAATAGTTTTCATGAAAATTTATATTTATAATATACCCTTTCCAATAAGCCCCACAATGTTACACCCGTTCCATATTCGAAGATAATTGTCACACTGAATGAAGTAATTGTCTATTAATGCAAGGAATAGAACATTTGCTTCGCTCATAAACAAAAACAAAAAATATTGAAAGTCAAAAGATATAAAAGTTTTGTTTTTATTCATGTGAATAAAATTATTTCCTATAGGTTTGTATATACACTTTATTATTATCCAGCGAAATAAATAAAATGAACAATTCACGAATTCTCAAAATGTTTGAATTTATAAATTTCTCAATTTTCAAGCATTCAAATTTAAAAATTTCCAAATTCCTTAGTTTTGAACCTCTAAACTTATAAATTTTCAAATTTACAAATTCTCAACTTCTCAAATGACCGTATTTCTAAATTTCACAAAATCCGAATTTCTATATTTCTACATTTTCAAGTTCACAAATTATTTCATTTTCAAATCCTCCATTCCCAAATTTTTTAATTTTCAGAGTGTCAAATCTATAGACATTGATATTTCTAATAGTTCAAATTTCAACCTGTTTAATCGCAAATATTGAATCCGCGGAAATAGAAATCTCACTGTACACAACATATTTTACATTTGTTTTTAACGTCTAAGTATTATTGTTCTTTGTCTATCATAAATGGTCTCTGGAATAACATGTACCATTATCTAATTAAAAAATATCTGTTTTACAAGATCTAATTTCATGGTACTTAAAGGTTAATTTATGCTTCCTATAGATGGCGAAATTATGTATCATACATTTCATTTCTTTTTCGAACTTTCATGCACGTTAAACGACAAATATTCTTGTGCGATGAATAGCCATCATACAGAAGACGTTGAACGAAATCAGCTGAATTACATTACAATTAGCTTGACATACACTACATAATTGAATGAAGTATCGTTGACCTTCTTTTCTGAGTTCAGGGATCAGGTCAGATTGGACGAGTACTATGACTCACTTCAATTACGTTCAATTGTTGCCACACTTGTGCAATTGGTCCACTGTTATTTTATAAGTAACCCTTTAGTCTAATGTAGTTAATGCATTCCATACTGAGCATAAAAATAGGAAGACAGAATAGGAACACAGACATCAAGGATATACATATTGTATGCCTATGAATATGAATATGCAAAGTTTATTAACACTTAGTGTACAGAAGGTAGAAGCGTGAGGTAGGATAGAAATATGAGGACACTAAGATACCGATCTGAACAATCTACTCACAAAGTGTATAAAATGTTAAAATGTGTCCTTGAGCCAAATAAAGCTTACGATATATCAATAGCATATCCAAAAATATATCTCACATCAAATTTCAACTTCGTATTTCAATTGCGGAGATAGATAGGAAATTCAAAATACCAATTTTTGCCTTATTTTTCCTATTTAATCATGTACAAATATTCTAAAACATTAGGATTCAGTAACGCATACTACAATTTTCTAGATTTTTATATTACAGACTGTACTTGTGAAACATGCAAAACCGAAAAACAAAATAATTTTTTATTGAAGATGGGATATTACTTTCAAATTACATCTTAGCACAATTATTATTCTCAAATTTTGTTCAGATTTTTCTGTAAAGTGCGTCATAGACAAAAAAAATCAAAAACCGATTATTTTGTGTGAAAAAGTAACTTTTATTTTAAATTTCAATATCTTCTTCATTCAGTATATTTATTTTTCGATATTCTCAAATTATCTAACTACGAAATATTCCTATTTCAAACCCTCTAAATTTTCGAATTTCCAAACGCCACTCTTGACGAATATATCTCGAAAACTTCAAGGTTATTTCTAGTTTTTTTTAAACAAACCAATATATTTTTTAATTCTCTACAAAATAACTTACAGGTACTTGGGTTAAAAATCTATTAATTCAAAAGATATTTTAACATTCGATTTCTGCGGTTTAAGTATATACATATGTAAACGTCACACGATGCTGAGAAACTAAAGTTACTACATTTTATAAATTAATCAATTTTTTAATTCTAGTATTTTAATACTTCTTCGTAAAAAAATAAAAAATGCATCGAAGGACGAATAAAAAGATATATACTTCTATTTGAAATAATAAATATGAAATCTTTGGAAAAAAAAAACTATTACGATAGATTTTCTTCACACACGTTGATCATTCTTTTTCGGAATCTGAGAGTTCAAAAAACTTAAATCAAAATTTACCGGTAAATCAGCATGCAACATGTCACAAGGTTATTTGAAATAAATTTATTTAAAGAAGTAGGTATACAAATATAGTATACGCATTCAAAAATAATTTGGCATCTGTTCTTTATACGTGGGCAAATTCAGTGAACTTGCAAGCTGTCATGACAAAGCAAATGCACTGATTTCTGTAAATATCCAGCCACAGTTTTGACTCATTGAAAGTTGAATCTGGCATTCAAACTTGACTTTCTCAGACTTTCAACGATTTTCATGTTTTCGTTATACATCTTCTTTTCTATTCTTGTCCGTTATTATTGTTTGAAATAGTAAAAAATTAAAAGTAACATTTAACTTATTTTTTACTATGAACTAAATTTGGTGATTTAATGAATAATTTTTCGATTGATGAGGATTTATTTTTGTCATATAAATAGTGTTGTGGAATGTGTGAGACTTCTCTAAAAAAGTTCAAAAGTAAGCATTTATAATTCTTAAATATCCAGATTCTTAAATTCCTAAAAAGTCTAACTGAATAAGGTAGTCAAATGTGCCCTTGAGACAAATAAAGCACCCAATACGTCAGTCGGTAGCATATCCAAAAAAACATCTCATACCAAGTTTCAACCCCCTATCTTATCCGTGGGGGTAGTAAAAGGGAAAAACGAAATTCCTGTTTTTGATCTACTTTGCCTATTTAATTTCGTAAAAAAATTCTGAAACATTCAGAAACTGAAGTTCAATGTTATGAAGAAAATAGTGTGAGATAATGTAAAAATTTATTATCAGTAACTATAGAAATTCTAAGAATTTTCGTAATAGTAAAGCGTTAAAAAATACATGCGTAAGGTCAAGGTATATTAAAATATTATATTCGTCGTTTGTATTTACTTCAGTACAAACTGCAAATGCAATAAGCACGTATATGCAAACATTTGATCATTAATGCATATTGAAACAATATTACTCGATACATATGCAAATTCATTGACTATAAGTAGTTTTTTTTTGTAGAGTCCTTTAACGACAATCAAGCAGCAATTTACCTGGCAAGTTTTTCAGTGATTAATTTTATAAATAGACCGCAAATTGAAGAAGCGCAGTGATAAAATACATTGATAAGGTCAGTTGTACTACTACAGCTGTCCACACTTCAAGTTTTTTATAACTTTCTATCAGAAAGTAGATGAATTATGCTACTGCCTGAATTACTTGATATTTATTGATAAATAAGTACATTATTTTTATCTTTCTGATTACAAAATTTTGAATTTTAACTTGTTATAACTATTTTTCTTAAACTTCTGCACACTGATTCACACACTCACACTTTCTCTTGGTTACTCTTGTAACAGATCCTCTTGTTGAAACGAATCCGGATAATTAATAACTGAGTGGGAATTTTTTTAATAATAACATTTCTACACATTTAGAATGCTTCAGATAGTCAAAATATAATAGATTTACATATACTTATTAGTTGTAAAATAATAGACTTGTTTTAGAGTTATTCCATAATGAAGAGTTTAACTTAATCTTATTTCCTACTAATTTTGTTTAAATATTGAAATTAAGTACTGTGTTTTTCCACGAGTTAACGATTATTGTGTTTTTCATACGAATTGTTAAAAGAATCAGTCTTAGTGAATTCATTAAATTGTTAATATTTATTTTATTAAAGTACATGTTTTATTTTTTATACATTCACGATAATAACAATTAATAAAAAATATATTTGTGCTTATTCTTAAAATTCGTTATAATATCAGCATAACCTAAAATTTGTTAATATACTTTTAATTATATATTACATTACAGAATTACATAAATTTTTCAGAATACTAAAGGGAAAGAAAAAAAAATGTTACGCACAGAAAGATGTTAGTAGAGCAGTAGAAGTTTTTAAAATTTTGTTACTAATTGCTAGTAAAAATTTTCATTTATCAAAATTAATCCAGGGAAAAAACTCATTATAATTAATTAAATGAATTTTTTATAAATAAAATGTTTTACAATCGTAATTATAATCGTGTGATAACATATACAAACATTTTTAACATCGATATCAGCTATTTTGATTCAAGTGAAATATGTTGTAGTGATATTCATAATTTATACTTATTTTCGTTTACACAAATAAACTATAGTTATAAAATTTTATTTCGTCAAGTATTTGTCAAATTGAAACAGACACATGTGTCTTCATATTTTTACGTAATTGAAACAGAGAATTGTTATCTGTACAGAAAAAAACGATTAGAACAATGTAATTGATAAAATGCTTGGAACTGGTAACAACGAATACACGTGTTTCTTAATGATTACCAGACAATGCTTTCAAAGATAGACAGAGGTCAATTGATTATATTATTCGAACCGAAACGAGGAGTTTCCGGGTAAATAAAGATATACATAGTCATTGATTTACGACGAAAAAATAATTCATGACTTTATATCTATTAGTTTTGAAAGAAATAAGATATTTTTAACAATTTAATGACAATACGAATGAATAATTTGAAATCCATAAACCAATCTTTTAAAATTAAA